CACAGACAAAGATCCCGTTAAGGGCGTGAAGAAAGAGCCTACAGAATGGGGGGGGTGTTGCCAGCGACTCCTCTGACAGATGTTAATATGCAGAATAGATAAAGATCTAAAACTTTTGATGACAAAAAACAAATAACCCAAAGAATAAAGGGGCAAAAGAACTAAATTGAAATTTCTCAAAAGAAGAAACAAAAATGGGCAACAAATATATGAAAAAGTGCTTAACTTTTCTAGTAATCAGGGAAATGCAATCAACACCAACTAGATTCACTCGAGTCAGATGGTGATTATCAAGTGTATAAATGATAATTAACACTGGTGAGGATGTGGGGAAAGGTCTATCTTACCCGGTTGGTGGGACTTCACATTATTCCAACCACTCTGGAAAGCGCTGCGGAGATTTCTTTGAAATCTGAATGGAACCAGCAGATGACCATCCAGAAGAACTGAGATCAGCACACTAGAGAGACCAGCCCAGCCATTACCATGTTCCCAGGATTCACAATAGCCAAACGGTGGATCCAACCTGGAAGCCTGTGAGTGGAGGAGTGCTGGGGGGTGACGAATAACTTCTGTAGATTGATACAGCAGGAGAGGGAGCCGTGTACTGTAGGACAACAGAGCTGTTTATACATTTTGCACAGCTTATCTTAATTAGCATAAACTAGATACATCAGTCAACCAATAAGGAATCTCCACACTTAATGGCTCGCTTTTGTTACTTCTCAAACCACTCCCTCTGGCATTTTGCCAGGCACCATCCAGACTTGTTTAGGAACTCTAACATTCCCCTGGCAAAATGCCAGGTGTTATTTTGACTTGTTTACAGACCTTAACAGAGGAGTGGACAGGGCAGCGAGGTGCACACACAATGATGCTCCCTCAGCCATGAATCAGGAGAATGGAATCCCGGCATGGCTGGTAAAGGGGTGGGAAGGGAGAGCATCTGGCTCAGGCAAACAAGACTCAGAGAGTCAAGGCTGCGTCTTCTCTCATCTGTGGAGGGCAGAGCTGAGGGGGAGATAGAAGGTTCCCGGGGGAGGGTCAGGTGTCCTGGAAATCAGGGAGGGAGGGTCAGGGAAGTAGGGGAATGGGGGGAGAGGAAGGGAAAGGAGAGAAACCCAAAGGGAATCATAACAGAGTTACTGTGTGGACATATACAGACCTTCCAGAGGGGACATCTGGTTATGTCTAGGTAGAAAGTACCAATAAAAATAAAGAAAGTGGAAAGAAAACCATAGAGGAGAGAGAAAGGGGGAGGGAGAGAGGAAGAATAGAAAAGGGATTGAAATCCATTTCCTTCTGCGTATAATTGTGTCCGAGGAGCCGCCAGCTGCATTCTCTGCTCCGTCTTCCCAGCTCAATCACCCCGTCCTCTTACCCGCTTTCCCCTCTTACTTTACTACGGCCTCAGAGCCCCCACGTGTCTCTTTTTTTCCTGGATTTTGCCTTGGTGTGCATTCTTGTTTTCATTTTAGCTGTTCTTTCTTTTTTCTCTCTTTTCTTTGGCCCAATTCTCCCTCCTCCTAATTCAGCTCCCATATAATGTGAGACAATTCTATGATATTTAATATTTAATTTTCAACCTATTCCAGAATTTTACTACTAGTTCACACCTGGATTAGAGGGACTATGGATGACAGCATCAACTAGGTTTTCCTTTTCTGTGGGTTGAATACCACATGGCTTTGCTCCGACGTGATTGTAGCACATGGATTTCAGCGACTTCTCTTGAAATGGTGGTGATTCAGGGAACAGCAGAGGACACATGTTGAGTGAACTTGAAAAAGAAGCCAAAAATACATGTTAGATTTCAAAAGCTTGATGACAAAAACAAATAAAGAAAATCTGTGGAAGACAGATTGTAATGCCTCGAAAATAAAGTTGACCATAGGGAACAGATATTAAGAGACCATGACCAGCAGGTTCAAGAACTCTGGGGTGACATCAGGAGATCAGATTTAATAATCACCTTTAAGTTTAGATAACTTTTTTATCATTATCTTATATCTGGTCATTCCCCTGTTTAGGGAGTTTTCAGCTCTACAGGAGATGGGACCCTCATGAGACAGACTCCCCCTTCCATGGCAGTGAGGCAGCCTGAAGAGGGACGGACCCAGGGCGCAGGTCAGCAGAGCCCTCGTGGATGTGTCGGGCCTCTGATCCTGGGCGAGGTTCTCTGGCTTCAGGTGTTGATGCCCACAATAATTTACATTTATTTGCCCCTTGACCTTAGACAATAGATAGAAAGACCACTATGGGTATAGATAAAGGACACAACTGCCCGTGATTTTTCAAATGGCAGGACTAGAATTTTGAAAGTGGAATAAGAAAATTAAGTTTCTGAGTCCAGTTTATTGATTAATATATAAGTAATAAAGCAACCACTTATAGCAAAGACCCTGGGCCTCAGTTGGTGTAGGTAGAGCAAGGTGACCCTGCCCTGCCCAAGTCCATGGACTTGATGGCCATCATTTATTACATCCTACATTTTAAAAAGGACTTGAAGAAGAAGGAGGGAATGGATGTATTCTGTTTCTCAAAAGCTGTCCTCATTCTGGTTCTCAGTGTGTAACTTTGGGAAGAGAAGGAGGTCAGGGATACAGAAACACCAGGTGCAGAAAACTGGCTCCATGCACATCCTTATGCTAAATTAATTAAGCCCTAATTAATACTGAGGTAACATCTGAGGCAAACAAACAGTAATTGTAGTGGGAGAGGGAAAGCTGTACTTCGGGGACTGAGGCTCGGCAGGGGTTTGTTCTCCCTGACAGTGACAACTTCGGAACGTGCAGTCTTGGTGGAGATTTGTAGGTGGCAAGAGCTCCACAATCCAGAAGGTACAAATAGGACCTGGGAAGCTGCACCCTGTCAGAAGGAGCTTGTCTGCCGCATGGCCACCGAGGTGAGTGGACCTGAGGGTTCCGGTGTCCTCACAGCGCCAGGTGGCATTTCCTAAGAAGCACAGATCTCACTCTGGTTCAGTGGCACAACGTAGTTCTGAGAGGTTTGTGATCCTTGGGCCTTCACTCCTTTGATACTCAGTGTGATGCACCTGGGTCAGGAGGATGAAGTGGTCCATGGCAAATGTCCCTCCAGTGATGCTGAAACACCTATTATTTCCCAGTGTATAGGATTCAGATTCATCCACGAGATCCTGGGTGTGTCTCAATAAAGATAAAACAGATAAAACAGCTGTCACCTCTAGGAAAATCTCAGTGTCTGTCACCCTGCATTATGACTCTGTCAACATTGTTGGCTTCCATGTGATGTCTGCACCTGGTTTTTAGTGTCTTGCTGTGTTTCCAAAAGGACATCTTCTGGTTTTCCCCTGTGATTCCAAGTCCCTGTGAGCTTTGTGTTTGCACTGAAGACATCCTTTATGCGTGTTTAAGCTGACCTAATTCTCACAGGCAGTATGATACCGCATGTGCAAATAAACTGCATTTATTATATGCCTGTTGTTGGAGGATAGATTAAAATACTACTATATAACACTGCAGTTTCTTAAGTAGTCTTGCTATGCTTTTGTCTGTTTTTTATTTTAAACTGAGGCAACAGTCTTTATGCCAATTTTTTGTTATGCAGCAAGGAGCACTAGTCTCGAATTTTCATGCAGGTAAGTGGTTTTCTCTGGGTGACACCAGCCTACCCTGGTTTCTAGTGTACATAACAGCCAGTGTCCTTCAAGATAAAATGAATCTGGAATTCCCAGGCTAGACTTACTGTCATTGTTCCTTTAAATTTTTTAGGTCTTTGGAGATTGGAAGAGGGATTTCAGGAACAGCATCCTTTGGAGTTCCCCTTTTCTGTAAGAACTGTATCCCAGGCTTGTTTGAAAATCATTGTAGAGAGACACAGATCACAGCAGCCCTGTTGTTGACCCCTGTGGGACTGAAGACTGCAAAATCAACCCAAGTCCGCTTCCCACAGGTCCTGCAGCAGCTGTAAAATGTCCTCTTGACCCGACTTGAGTGGTTTCTTTTCATGCTGAAGGTCTCCCAACCACTTTGACAGTCGAAGGTTTTACTGGAGACTCTCAGTTGATACACTGCCTGCATCTCCAGACGGCACAAACCCTCAGCAAGTCTGCTGTTGGAATCCCCTTTAGTAGACATCGCCACATCCAGACTGACCCAGGTTGCCTGAAAGGCCCCTGAGGTCATCAGTGGGGACTCGGGCCTCTCCTGAAGGCCCCTCCCCAACCGCATCCCAGTGAGGACCTCATTTTTTTTCGGGGAAGAGACTTTCCCTCATGTCTTTGAATGATGGAACTTTAACCATTGGGATCTGAAAAGATGTGCAGTTTGACTTCATATTATGGGCTATAAAAATTAACTGAACATTTGTAACCCTTGAAATCACAGGGACGTTTTTAAATGGATCCATGCAGACATATTAATGTACTGGGATCAATCAAACTTGGAAGAGACATGTTACCCTAGAGAAAGTGAGGCCAGCTCAGTGAGAGACAGGAAGGCGTGTCCAACAAAGTAAGAGGCAGTAAGAGGACGAGGCGAAGGTGACAAGAGGTAGACTCACTGGGGGGTGGGTGGCAGGTGGCCCCGCATTAGCACACAGCTTTGGAACTGAATAATGAGATCTGATAGAAGAGAATAAAATGCACATGGGGAGATGCTGGTTGAGGAGCTGTGGTTTTAATGAAGCCACACCAAGGGGGGACACAGATGGGACGTTAGGGGTTTAAACACAGAGGTTGGTTTCACTTGTATGGAGCTAAAAAAAAAGATGTTGAAAATTTAGATTTTTTGAATACTAGTTCTCTGTCGACTGCAAGGAGTGACCCAGTGCCACAGGGAAAGGAACCATTCCTTGACTAAAAACAGGCACATTTTCCTAAACCTCAGTCAATCCTGCTTTTCATTAAACTACAGTAATTTGATATGATATGAAATTATATGTACAGATATCTCTCATTCTGTTATTTTCTTCAAAAGGGTGTTTAAAACATACAAATTTTTCTGCCTAGGAGGTAAGAAATGACTTTGATCCTAGTCAAGGGAGCCATCTTTGTCTCTAGCAGGAATGGCTTTGTGGGAAACTTCTTTGTTAGTGTGAATCACATCTGCATGTTGAGAGACAGAGAGAAGAAACCTGTACACCTCATCCACTTGGTTTTTACACATATTATCATGCTTCTTTCCAAGGGAATGAGAAAGACAATAGCAGCTTTGGGTTTGAGAGATTTTCTATATGACATAGGCTGTAAGGTGGTGGTTCACCTGGAGAGGGTGGCCCGCAGCCTGTCCATCTGCCCCACCAGTCTCCTCACAGTGGCCCAGGCCATCTCCATCAGCCCCAGAGCCTCCAGGTGGGGGAGGCTGCAGCCCAGGTCTGCATGGCACCTGCTTCCCTTCTTTCTCTTCTTGTGGATACTCAATTTCTTGATCAGCATGAGTTTACCATTTTACATAAAAAGTATCAGAACCATGAACACATCACAAACTACTAAAAGTGAAAACTACTGTTTTTTCCAATCAGAAAACTGTATCATCAGTTGGATTTTTGCTGCTCTCATGGTCCTACGAGATGCTGTGTTCCAGGGTGTCATGGGCGGGGCCAGTGGCTACATGGTCTTCCTCCTCCACAAGCACCATCAGAGTGTTCTCTACCTTAAAACCTCCAAGCTCCTGTGCAAAACTCCCCCTGAGACAAAGGCTGCTCACACTGTTCTCCTTCTGATGCTCTGCTTTCTCTCCTTTTACTGGGCAGATTGCTTCCTTTCTTTATATACAACCTTCTGCTCACACAAGGATTCCACTGCAGCAAGTGTGGAAGAGTTTCTGACCCTTGGCTATGCTGTCATCAGCCCCTTTGTGCTGATTCACAGAGACGGACGCCTGGCTGAATGTGGTCATGCTCAGTAACAGAGAGGGTCAGAGAGGGTCACTGAGAAAACGTGTATCCTGTTGATCCTTTCAGTCAGCTGGGAATCACTGGTGGCTTTCTGTTGCCACTTGAGATGTAAAACCAGGTGTGAGTAGCTGGGTCACACAGAGGGGTGTTCTCACACCACAGATCGGGGACAGCTCTGAGCTGACAGAGGTCACTGGGAGCTGGCAAGACCCAGCTCTCTTCCCTTTCTCCTTCCTGCCAGCCTTCAGATACTGGCCAATGTTCTCAGATTGTCCTTTCACACCACCACTTCTTCTAGTAAAATTCAGAAGAAAAAACATTTTGGAAAATTATAAGAATTTTACTAAACATATTCACCTCTTGAACCAAGAATGTCACTTCTTGCAGACAGCTAATGTAAATCATTATAAATAAAATTATTTTAATAAAATAATTTTATTACAGAATAAAATTATTGTAGATTGCAATGTTACTTTAAAAACAAACTTAAATATACTATGAAAGGGTGGTTTTCTTTGTTACTTAAAGATATTCAGAAATATTCATCCTGGTGAGGTATTTGATAAAATATTTGAAAGAATGCGTTCAAACTGTGACGACATGCAGTGCCATCTACAGTGTGTTCACAATCAATGGGAAATCACTGTAGTGTAGTTGCACTTAGAAGGTGATATAGTAATATACCCAACTGAGTTCTGTGTAGATGGTGAACCTCTGAAGAACACCAAAGGGCCTGGAAGAGCAGATGCCTCTTTGGAGTGCAAGGGGGTTGATGGTGGTCTTAAGCACTTGGTTCTCTTTCTTCATTTCCTGATTTGTTGACCATCCGGATACGTTTCTAACAGATGAGTAAAACGTGAATGCTCAGCGCTATCTGTGGCTTGTTCCACGACAGCGTTTGCCTTGACCCAGCCCAGCGCTCTCTCCCTGTTCCCGAGTTCCATGAAATACTGTGCATCTGAATCCAAGAAGAACGTGCACCTCATTTTTCTTAAACTTCAACCAAAATACACATTTATTTATATAGTTCTGACAATAGGATATTTAATCACGTGTATTGGACAATTGTGGTGTCACCTTACCTATTGCTCACATTCACAGCAGGAAAGAGCAGAACTGATGTAGAGTGCCTTCCCCTCTTCATTCAGGACACCTCCTCTGTGACTCTCTTTTGTCCTTTGGTGTGTCTGAGTTTCCCTTCTCAGGTGACTGTGCTGAATGCCTATTCCTCTTATTTTTTTTTTAATTTGTGTTCTTTTTTTTTATTGTTGGTCGTTCAAAACCTTACACAGTTCTTAATACATCATATTTC